CCCCCCCCAGTACTTCAGTTTGGTCAGCTCACTGGCATATGGAATACTTTATTTTGGGGGTGGGGTGTGTTCCTGGTTTGAACTTTTATCTTACATCTTTCTCTCTTTCCTCTTTAATTTTCAGCCGGATTTTGATGTTGATCACTTTGTATCAGACTGCAGGAAACGTGTGCAGTTGGAAGAGCTCAGAGAGGATCTGGAGCTCTATTACAAACTCCTTAAAACTGCCATGGTAGAACTCATAAATAAGGACTATGCAGATTTTGTTAATCTCTCAACAAATCTGGTAAGTCTTATTAAGTTGTACTATGTAGTTCAGACTTAACAAGTTTTAATGTGATTTTTATTTTTCATGTGAGAAGTATGTGGCTTGTATTTTGGCGTTATTAGATTTAAGACATCTTAAACTGTGACCTCTTGCACTGAGAGAAACTTTCTGAAAGAGCATTATTGGGGAATATAGCTACTATACAGAATTGCTATTGGCCCATAATAAATGTTTTAGAGGTATGCTTTTTTGTCTTAAAAAAAGTCAGTTCATTAGGAAGTTAGACTCAAGGCAAACTTTTTTTTAAAAACTGCTAGCGGTTGTAAAATTGAAGGAAATAAATCATTAAAATTGGCCATTCTGAGGGGTTCTTTTCGGAATCTTTAATTTTACCATACAGTCAGTATATCTTAAAAAAAACCAACCCACTTGACTGAAAATTTTAAGCATTTTCATATTAAAATGTCTTGTGCACTGTGTTTCCTGCTCTTTTACTCCAGTTCATCCAGGTTCCAATTATATAGGTTCAAAGAGTGAGATTTAACATTTTTGTTGGAAGAAAAACTTCCATAGGTCGAAGTTTTCTTTCATTTTTGGCTTTGTGTGACAAGTAATCTGATATCTGTATCCCTATATTTGAGGTAATGTATTTTTGCATTGCACTTAAAACTGGAGACTATAAAGGGAGGTATAATTTCTCAGTTCTATTTTAGTATCTGTAAAATGGTAGGCTGTGTCAGTAATCCACATATGAACTTAATCAAAAAAGTTTTAAATGTTTTTATGGTAATTTCTTTAGGTTGGTATGGACAAGGCCCTTAATCAGCTTTCAGTACCCTTGGGACAGTTAAAGGAAGAAGTTATGGTACGCTCAAAACAATCACTATACACAGCTTGGTAAAATTCAGCTCACTTTCATATGATACATGGAATGTCTTTTATTCATGTTAATAATTATTATAATAAATTTCTCTTTGAAGATTGACTTCTTATAGCAGTAGTACAAGAGGCATATTTTCAAGTAGTTGCAGTAAATTTACATTTTCTGTAGTGCCTTTTAATGAAGAGATAAAGGATTTCTTAACTGTGATAAATGAATGGACTCTTGCAAGACAAGTATAAGGTGAAATATTGAACTGTTTTAATATTTGAGTAACTTAAAGATGGTAGTAAATAAATGGGATGCAACACAGTCCTACTGAGGACTTTTTTTGCTCAGTCCTGTGGTTTAACCATAAAAGATCACCCACCTGAGGGTTGGTCTTATTCTGACTCTTCCACAGTGACTTGGTATTTAGTGAAGGGCAGTTTTTGTTCATCTTGGCAGCTGGTTCGAGGGGTTGTTTGCTGCGTAAATGTGCGTCCAAATTCTTAGCCTTGATGTCTAAAACAGAAAATAGGTTCACAGTTAGCATAGAGAAATAATTATTATGTGAAAAATGCTACTTAAATCTGATTTATAACTCCAGTTTCAAGACATAAAATCATAGTGATTTTATTGTTTATTTCTGGGTGAAAGGTGGTTTGTTCTTTGTAAGGTACTAAAAGAATGCTTCTGGCTCAAATAATGATACTTGTTGTGGTAGTACTTTAGGAGCAGGTTATACTTTCAGTGATTCAGTCTTATTTCTGGGTTTGTTTTTTTTTTTCACTTAGAAGGTAGTTGATGTACTGTAGCTTTTATTTGTCCTGTATTCTTATTAATCTGTCTCCTGTTTTAAGTTTTGATTTTTGAGTTAAAAGATTTTTTAAACCTTAAGTGAAAACCCAACTTTTCATACTGACTTTTTCTCTCATAGAGTCTTAAGTCATGTGTCAGTGAAGGAATTCAAGCAGTTGATGACCGAATGACTAAACAGGAAGATATTAGAAGAAAAAAGGTACAATGGACACACTATTATCTTGGAAAGATCCTCATTAGGACAACTTTTGGTTTTGCCATTAACCTTGAGAAAATGAATTTGTAAAAGCTTTAGGCTGTCTAGATTCACACGGTGCAGGATTTTGCACTTGTAAAAATAATGATTAAAGTTTTTGTTGACAGACTTCATTTTTACAGTGTCTAGTTGATCATAAATCTTTATTTTACTTTATTTGCCAAAAACATCTATGTTTTGGTTTGGTTGGCTTCTTTAATTACAATTACTCACGTTTCTGCTTGTAGTAGTATATAAATTTCCTTATTATGAATATATGAATATAATTGAAATACAGCAGTTTAATTTCGATATGGGGGGGAACTATAACATTTGTCTTTGTGCTTAACTTGGTAAAAATAGGATAAGTTCTACATTTCTGACAAACATCATTTGTGGGGTTTTATGGACTTATGTGAGCAATACTTCAACTGAGACATGACTCAAGTATTAAGATGGAGGGAGACAACACCAGCAAAAAAAAAAAAAAAAAGGAAAAAACCATCCTAAATATCTTCAGGTTGTTAGGTAACATAAATTGGGATAGGGGTCAGTCATAAAATACCTTTTTTTCATTACAGATGTGTGTCCTGAGACTTATTCATGTTATTCAGTCTGTTGAGAAAATTGAGAAGATTCTACATTCCCAAGGCACTAAAGAATTGTCCTCATTAGAGGGAAACAGGTAAAAAATATGTAAATGTTTGGTTTTGTTTGTAATCGATGAGGCTAACTTAATTTCATGGTACTGGTGTAGATGAATTTACAAGCTTTAGGATATGTCTTTAGAAATGTAACTGCTGGAATAAGTGACTTATTTTCATATTTTCTCAGGTTTAGTGTTCTGCAAACTAATCATTCACAGAATAGGAAACAGCTTCTAAAGTTCTGAATTATTTGTAATGCTTTCAGTAAACGTGTGCTTTTTGAAGTTTGCATGCAATTTTTTTTTTTTTCTTGGCAGTCACAGTCTTGTCATGTCTGATATACTCTCTACAGTACAGTGTATTTCAATGTCATTTGGAAGTAAAATGGGAAATAGTTTTTCTTGTTTTCCCTGCGTATGTATAACTGAAAAGGCTGTTGCAAGAATAGCCTGAGGCAGGCAAGCCACACATGTAATGCTTCTGGTAGAAAGGAAGTTTGTGACAAATGCCAGTCAGACTCACAAGTTTTGTTTTTTAACAACTCCGTGGAAAGTGTCTTCTCCCTCTGCTTTGCTGAGGTTTGGAAGATGTCTTTCAGCCAGTTTTGGAGCTGAGGTACCAGCTATGCACTTGAAACAATTGACTGGGATGCAAGTGAGAATTACGCTGGAGGAAGAAATACAATTTCATGAACCTTTTTGAATGTGTGACTGTCTCTTCAGTTTAGTGCACTGGATCACATTGTAATGAGTTGAGGGAGGTAAAAGAATAAGTTGATACCTAGAGGGACAAAGCACATGCAAATGTTTTCAGTCAGGGTGAGGCTCTTTGCAGAATCATGTTTTGAAGCAAGATTGTACGCTGAAAATTTGGCTAATTATATAGACCTGAGAAGGGTAGGTCTGTCTCTGTAGAGATAGCTGTCATTAGTTTTACCACATGACAAAAAAGGGAAATAAGAAGCAAATCTGGATGGTGAAGAGCACTTACTGCAGTATGAGCTGTAAGGCTGCCTTTTCATGTGGCAATAAGCAGCACTACCATATAGAAAGCAAGTGCTTCATACTATTCAGGCAGCTTCTTATGTTCCCCTCAGCTTCTGCTTCACCTACTTCATATCTTAGTAGCTCCAAAACAACTCTAATCATGTAGTCTTTTCCAGACTACTATTGCATGATTGCAATAATTGTAGTAATAATTCCAAATATTTAGATTAAACCACAAAAATTGCGGGAGAACTTTATCTAGCCGCTGCAGATGAAAGTGAGTTGATTTGAAAGGATTTAACTGTATTCTCATTTTGTATCATCTTTCTTCTAGCCCACTTTTAACTGGACAGGTTTTAGAGAGAATTGCCACGGAATTTAATCAACTGCAATTTCATGCAGTACAAAGCAAAGGAATGCCCCTTTTGGACAAAGTGAGACCAGTAAGTGTTGCATTGTAGCCAGCTTAATACTTGTAGGATCAAAGCAAAACCAATATAAGTGGAAGACAAATGCCTGTTACCACAGAGTTTTATTGAATTAATTTATGGGGGAAAATGAGTTTCAAGAGGTCATTTTTATCAGTTGACTAGAAGTATTGCTTCTTCTGAGGGTTTATGCTCTGTTTGTTAACTTCTTTAGGATAAATTACTTAGAATAAGAGTAGGGAATACAACAGATGTTTTTGTCAGCCTAACGTGTCATGCAGTTTGTCTGCTTGCCGATATTGAAGCCTAATTCTAGAGATGTATGTTGGTTTTGTTAGCTGCAGTGTAGAGACCAGAATATAAGTGGCATGTGTGTACAGAGTGGCTGGCTTGAATATATTCGACTTTGTGCTTTGGTGAAATTTGTTGCCTGACTGTGGCTGTTCAGGCTGGTAGGCTGATTTCCTTAATATCCTGTTTGCAATAACTGCCTGCTGTAAAAGATGAAGTGAACTTTTTTTTTTTCTTCTTTCTATTCATTGGAGAGCAGGAACAAATGAAGACTGGTGCCTAAAGGTAGATAGTATGAATAATGGGGATATGGAGATGGGGTAATGCTTTGAGCTGAGTAGCAAGGAGCTGACATTTTTGATGGCTTGCAAAGGTTCATAGTTCCGGTTTTTCACTATGTATGTCTGTTGGCCATATGAACATGTTTCAGCTCAAGACTCCATGGTACCATGTTGATTCATGGGCAGTTTACAAGACTGTTCTGGCCACTGAGTTATCAAACATGGATAGCAACAGAAGTGTGAGCAACGGGGTAGTATTTATGGTGGGAGGACCTTTGTTACTTTGTCATGTGGTTCCTTAAAGATGCTTGCCATGGCTTCTGTCCTGTACCTGTTGTTGCTAAGGGTCATCAGATCGTAGTTTTCGTGACTAGTCAGCAATTGGGTTAGGGCTTTGTATGTTCAGAACAAATTCTGTGGCTATTTAAAGAACCATTTTAGGATGAATGGACACAATATAGCATGCAAAAGGCTAGAGAAAAAATTTAACTCATTAAATTGGTAGTTCAGCTGTGATTAAATTAATGTGTATTGCTAAACTTGCTTTAAATATAGAGTTGTGAGTGATTGTCTTGGGCCAGGAGTGTATCTGCAGGTAATGTAGCAATGAGTTGGATCTAGTGGAAGAGATGTTGCAGGAGATGGGGAAAAGTGGTTACCAAATGGGAAAATGTATGTTGACTGAAGCAGCTGTTTGGCAGAAGCCAGAAGGAATCTAGTGGCATGTCTTCTCCCCCCCACCCTCCGCAAGTGTCACTCAACGTCTTTGGTTTGCAGTAATTTGACAAGTAGTGCTGGGAACACACTGTCATTTTAGGTTTTGACTGTGAGGGGTAGATGCCACAGTTGTTATCCATGGTGACTTATTGTGAAGGAACAATTACTGACCTATTTCTTCAGGATAAAGGGGACCTTAGATAAGTTACTGTTTAACCTAAAACATATAGAGGAAAATAACTGCCTTTTAACTGTATTATAATAAATACTGTGTTAAATAGCGTCATTAACCCATTAAGCTTGTGTTAATGTTCATTTAATGGTGACAGTTGTCAAAACTGCACCTTTGAAATGAAAATGGAAAGCTGAATTAGGTATTTCTGGAAAAATTTTCTTCAGCAATGATGGCAAGGACACTGCTTTTGGGTTTTTATTACTGTATTTTGTTTCCCTTCATAGCGTATAGCTGGAATAACAGCTATGTTGCAGCAGTCTCTGGAAGGGCTGCTCTTGGAAGGCCTTCAAACTTCAAATGTTGACATAATACGTCACTGTCTTCGCACTTACGCAACAATTGACAAAACGCGAGATGCAGAGGCACTAGTTGGTCAAGTGCTTGTAAAACCTTATATAGATGAGGTAAGATAAAAATTAAGAATCCTAAGAAAATTAGTTGATTTGCAAACATGGGGGGTTTTTTCCTGTTAACCTCCAGCTTTCTCTAGCAGCTTTGAAATGCCTTTGTGGAGACAGCAGGAGAACTGAGCCCCAATACAATGTTTATTTGTTTGTTGTTGCTATTTAAGAAAAATGGGTGGAGGAATTCTGTATCCATCTGTCACCAATTTCAGGTTAAATCTGGTTTGAATTCTTTTTCTCACCTACATTTTTCTTGGGGTGAGGAATCCAAAAGACAAACCTTAAACCAAGCATATGACTAGAGTAAAATCCAGTTTTTTCTGGACCGGGGTGCATCTGTGGAAATCGGATCAGGTCTGGGGTTTGCATTTCTTCATGTCTGGCTCAGTAGCAGGCAAATGCAGCAAAAATAGTTCTTGATGCAATGTCCTTTTGTTCCCATTGTATGAAGAAGCAGTTTCTGCAGTTCCTATCTGTACCAGGACATTACCAGGAGCAGGAACAAGTGTTTGTTTGAGAAGCACTTGCTGTTGTCTGGTGGGGAAAAATGTGTCAGATGGCCAGTTTCCCAATTCATGAGAAATTGGTTTTAGTATGCCATCAGCTTACAGTAATAAGTTGGACCAACCACAAAGTACTTATTGGATTTTCTGAAATAAGGGGACTTTCTGCTAATTCTTTTGACTGTGCAACTTTTGCTGCTACCTGTAAAATGATTCCTCACTTTTTTGTAGTGCTGTTTGTTCTTACCAGTTCTTCTGGCCTGAACAGTTGGTGACTAGTCTATACTACTTTTTTTCCTTTTTGTTGTGGTTGATGATAATGTAATTCCTCCAAAAAAACCTTCCGATGGTAACCTGCCGCAACAGTGTAGCAGTTAAAAAGTCAGTCAGTTACACTCAATTTTTCTTGTATGTCAGCACACCTGCAGGTGCCACTGAAGACATTTTAAGGGCCTGCAAATATATTGTGGTAGCTCCAGTTTCAAGCTTCAAGTAAAAATCTAAAAATTCATTTTAAGATAGTTGATAGTCAATAGTGTTTGAAATGACTTGATAAAACAGGTTTGTTACATCTTTAATGAATGTGCTGAATGTTGCTATAATACCAAGACTTCTTTTGACCCTTTTCATCAGTATGTTGGGAATTATGTCCAGATCAGGTAATGATTCCATATCATTTCAGAGGATATTTGTTCTCTACTGAGGTCTGAATAAGCGCCCTTTTACAATATACTTACTGGTGCTAGCTGACTGCCCTGTTGCAGGAAGTTTCTGTGGCTTTCAGTAGATTGTCAGAGTATTTAATAAATGCGTGAAATGCACTGTCCTTAGAGAAGTTGTTAAACTGGGCCAGTGTCAGGGCTATAAAGTTGTTGTTCTAAAACTAGCGTTGTGAGTCTTTCAGCAGTATTAGTTTTTCTGCTCCTGGGGGAGCAAAAATTGTAAAGTACAAGAGCTGCCTTGGCGATTGCAAATGTACACTTGTTTGAATTTGTGCATGTTAACAGAAGGCAGCATAGATCTTTCCCTCATTGTTGCCTCTGTAATAAATAGCACTTTTCAGTGGCTGTGAGTTCCAAGTTATGCTATTGATGTATCTTTCCCTTTGCTGTCAAGATTTTCTTTTACTGCCGTTTCTCTTTAAATTGAGATATTTTATAACATTCTCTTTGCTCAGTAAAGCATGAGAAGGATGTTATGATGTGAGATGCTTTTCTCTGCTTTCAGGATATTTAAAACAGTTAGTTCTCTACTGGTATTTTACGAAAAATAAAACCACTTATAGTATGGAGCTAACATTATTAAGACCTATAAAAGCAATGTGAATGTTGTTTGTAAAAGTATTGAATATATTCATGTAGGCAATAACACATTGCCTTTTCTTACACTGATGTGCCTTTCTGAACATAAATGCAGAAGTGACCTTAAGGTATTTTTTTTAGTGCTTCCTTTTTCCATTTAGTGGCCATTTGCCATGGTGTTGCCAACCAAGGCAAGTGAAAAGTCAATCTGTATAACTTTTGCGGAAGGAGTTGTTCTTCTAAATTAGTACAGGGAAAAGAAATTACCTTTTTGTTCACTCTGTAATGTCTTCAGCAACCAAGAGATGTAATTGTTACTTTCCCTTCCCAGTAAAAGAGTAGTATGTCTGATAACAGCTGAGCTGTATGTCACTGTCATTAGGATGTTTTCTGCTGTTGGAAATGAAACATTTAAAATTATTCTGGTTTTACTTTGTATGCATACAGATTTACAAAGCAAAAAGTCAGCTCCTGATTTTTTGGATGGGAGAGGGAGTTGAACGGTGGTGGCCTCTCTCCTTAAGGACAGACCTCCTTTGGGTGCTTGCTAATGCCATAGCAACTGCTACAGTGGGGGTCAGGTCATCTTTGCTTCTCAGTATCTTTTCTTTCCCCACTTCTGCACCGTTCTACTTGTTTATGTAGCAAAAGGCAAAAGTGTTTAGACAGGTGGAAGAATACCAAGAAATATAAGCTACTATTCTTTTCCTGTATTGTCCAACTACTGTCTGCCTTCTCTTTGTGGCAGAGATTATCCCTTTTTACTGGATATGAGGTACTGTCCTGACAAACTGCTTTGCTAGCTGTGTTAAAGGCTTAGCATTGTCACAGAAGATTCTTGGCTATTGGCTTAACTGCATCTGGGGTTGGACCAACAAGCTCTCAATTTGGAAGAATTTTTCTGCTTTATTCTGAGGTTTGTTTAGCTTTTGCCAGTCAACTGTTTAACTTCACAGACTGTTTCAGGGGACAGTGATCTGTGCAGTGGGTGGGGAGCCAGACACATTGGCTAACATTTAAAAGCAATGAGCTCATTGCCATTCTTATGGCCAATCTTGCCAGTTAGAGTGCAACATTAAAGGAAGTAATAATTCAAGCTGGCAAGTTATACTTGGAAACTATATGATAAAAAAGTAATACAGCGGCTATCCCAATATTTAGGGTTATAGCATTACAAGTTTTGAGTGAGTAGGCTGCGAGTCTTACATTACAGTATTTCATGTTCACTTTTCTGACACTTAACACTGAACTCTTCCTGGCAGGTGATTGTGGAACAGTACGTTCAGTCTCATCCTAACGGCCTTCAGGCTATGTACAATAAACTGTTGGAGTTTGTTCCTCATCATTGCCGTCTCTTGCGTGAAGTAACAGGAGGAGCTATTTCGAGGTAAATATCTTGGGTTTTCTTTTGGTTGCACTAAAGTTACAGCAAGTATTATATACTTTTGAAATGCATTGCATAATTAGCTTCCATGAGCAAACAACTTATCTGGCCTTTCCTGAAGATTCATAGTCAAATTGATTTCTTCCTCATGTTGATTTTTCAAAACAAAACTGTGAACAAACTTTCTTGCTGCTGTGGCCCAGACCTTCAGAGGAGGAAAGGAGAATACTTTAATCCATGAAACGTGATTGAACACTTCATCCAAGGAGAGGGGCATAATAAAGCTATTTGAAAATATAAGTTCAAAAGTGAGGTTGTTAGCATATGTCAGAAAAGTGGTGGTGATCCCCAGAGGTTTGACTGATTTATTGCATGTACTGGAACTACAGGTTTAATTGATTTGTGTAGTGCTTCCTCTGTCTTCTCCAAAAGTGCTTAATTCCTTATGCAATTAAATTGCCTGTTTTGAAGTTTAAATAATTCAGGTCTACTGAATTGTGTCCATTTATTCATCTGTTTGCAGGCTGGTTAATATAGTAGACTGCTGTAATTAGCAGAACTATGGATGTAACCCCTAGGGACTGCAGAATTACTTTTCTAATTAGTCATCCATTGCTGAGCTTTTTATGACTCCTAAGTTTTACTAACATTTCAATTCTTTTAATCCCTCAGCAAGTTTTAATCTTTATTCTTAATAATGGAATGTTTCTGCTTTGTACTGTGGTGTACTGAACTGGAATTAAATGCTTGTATCTCTTCTGCTCTCAATTTATAAATTTTCATAATCAAGGTAGCTTTTAATCTTTTGCTTTGAAGCACAATATCATGTATAAAGACAGCTTGGAACAGTTATGAAAGTTTTGCTTCTTTTCATTGCATTAGTCACATTACTCCTCTTTGGTACCTCTTTGAAATTTAGAGTTGTTAAAACTTGAAATAGCAAGTAAGAAAAAGGAGTTCTCGGATGAAATGTACTAATTTTCCAGAATACACTTGCAAAATATATAACTGATACAATTTTAAAATACTTAGCGTTATTAAAGAAATACCTTGCATTTGATGAGACTGTGGGATCAAATATGAAACCTGGAAGGATGAATTGGTTAAGAGAATCAGCATACTTATGTGAAAAAAAAACAACCAAACCCACTTAAATTATGTTTTGTCTAATGCAATGCATGTCTCTTTAGTTATCCCTGCCTCCAAATAGAACCCTGCTGGTAAAATGTAACCATGGAATAATTGCAATTTTTTTTTTTTTTTTTTCAGTGAAAAAGCAGATATTGTTCCTGGATATGATTTCTTAGTGAATTCAGTGTGGCCAGAAATAGTACATGGTTTAGAAGAGAAATTGCCATCCCTGTTTAACCCTGGAAACCCAGATGTGTTTCATGAGGTAATTAATTTTAATTTTTTCCATTTGTGGTTCCTTTGACACACACAAGAATTGAAATGAGTCACGTTCTCTAGCTTTTTTCCCTGCTGCTTTTGTGTAAATTCATGTTGTTGCATGGCTCAGAAGAGGAGGTTATCTCAAATCTCTTGATTTAATTTTCATAGTAATTAATTCTCCCCTCAAGTTTGTCAGGAAAACTCATACAGAAGTTATTGGAAGCCATTTAGTCACGTGAATTTGGTCTTAGTATTTGTTTTGGGAGTAGAGGTTCTTTCTTAATTGTAGAATTGCAACATAAATGAAGGCAGGAGTGGACAACTCCAATGTTCACCCAAGACTGGGACTTCTGTATAGGAAGAGCTGTCATTTTAATTCAATACCTTGGTTACAACTTGCCCTATACTATGGGAAAGTTAAAAAAATTTCTTTGGTTGACTTGCTTGTTTTAGCTTTTGCTCTCTTTCAGCACTGCAGATTCTGTTGTGATTAGAAACACAAGTTAACTAAAAGAAATAAAAATACTTGGAGGCAGTATGACAAGGTTTAGAACATAAAAGAAGTATTTTCTCTGGTATTGCAATCAATTATGAAGCAAGCTTGCATTATAAAATGAATTTAAAGTACTTGTTGCTCTTGTATTTTCATCATTGGCAGTGCTGCTCTGCATCTGAAACATCATCTCTTACTAATGTTGAAACAGATTTCTTGGTCTAGTATGAAGATTGGCTCTGGCAGTACTTTGTTAGTATGTCACAAGAGTTTTCTGCTTTTCTTCATGTCCTGCCTGTCTTGTATTCAACCATGATTGCTGACATGTTTGGATTTTTCTTTTCCTTGCAACTTGACTTATGATTAGTGTGAAACCTTTTATTTTCAAGATGGAGATGGCAGGCAGTGATAAATTGTCTGAAGGAAGGCATAGTAGGCAGATCAGGACAAATGACTTGAAAATGTTGGATTGCTGATGGAGATTTACAAGGCAGATGATTCTTCCTGTGTTCATGCAAAACTGCTTTTGCAAAATACTTCTGTTTTTCTTGGAATTTAAGATCTCTTGTACAGATACCTGGAATAGTGGAAGGCAGGCAGGCATGACATTGACTGTTTGCGGGGCTGGCTCTGAATAAGGAGCAAATGAAATGGATGTTGAAGAAAGTTGTGGTAATGCCATGCAAACAACACTGTAGGGTGTTCTCCCTTCCCTGTGAGAATAGTTAGTTTCCCATAAAGTTTCAGTCACTCTTCAAGCTTTCACCTAATGCCTTGCATACTGCAAATTGTGAGCTGTGCTGGGATTTCATGTCTGTGCTGTTTTGTTTACACAAGAATATATTTTATTTTCAGAAGAGCTGGGTTTGCTGTTTTAAATGAATTATTTTTAAAAGGCTGTCATCTTATATTAAGCTGATACTGACCAGCAGTGACATTGTGTTTATTAAGAAAAAAACAACACACAAACAAAACCATAAAGACCCAGCACCCCCCATGAATTTCAAGTAAATCATGTAGTAAGTCTAAAGTACTTTCCAGGCTGCTTTTGACTACTTAAGTGACTCGGAGTCTAAATCGTTAAAACATTTAATCTAAAAATCAGTATGAAGTTGAAATGCCAAGTGTAAAAATGCTATTATGTCTACCTGAAGACTAATAGGGGTAGTTCTGAATTAAGAGGGAGGGGAAAAAAACCTTTAACATTTTCTGCACTGCTGACAATCCAAGTAATGCAACACAGATTTTAGACAGTAATCTTCTATCTCTGTTTTCTGGGCTGATAGAAATACAGAAGACTTTTTCTCCAGGTTTGTTTGCATATGTATAGGTTTCATGCTAAAAAGTTTGAATATGCAATATTATCTGTTAGGAGGTTTTTAGATGTAGAGGAGGGGAATGGAAAATATTTTTATTTTTTTTTAATCCTGTAGAAATCAGACTGGCAGTCTTAAGCATGTATGTTAAAACAACTATTTACCTGGGCAGATTTTTTTTTTTAAATGGTTTCAAGTTGTTGTGCCCTTATTTCTGAGCCAGATTTGTAGCTTTACAGGCATTTGAAGAGAGTACTTCTTTTATCCCTAAACACTCATTTGAGACTTAAGTTTAGATTCCTCTGAAAATTGGTCCATTTTGTTTCCTACTTTAGCTTCTTTTAAATAACTTAATGCGGTCAACAATCCAATCCTAGAAACTGAAATGGGAACCAATCTTGCAGTTAGTTCCCTCTCTTGGATATAATGTTATAGATAACTAGATAAATGTCTCTTGAGTTGTCTTCTATTTTGAAAGTGGTAGGTCTTTTCAGAGTGTTTGGTTTATATCTCTGACTAATACTTAAGGTAGCAGAGCATTAATGGCTTGTTTGTCTTTTTTACAGTGCTGGATTTATTATCTAAAAAAGGAGGCCTGAAAGAGCACTAATCTGGATTTTTGATTTAACCCTCATACCTTTTATGGTTCCATTGTGTTATAGACACAGCCACGTTGGGATAAAAGTAGTTACTTAAAAGCCTTTGTGTGCAATTTCCAGAATACCGTCTTGACACACTGAAGCTGCCATGTCACAAGAAAAATGTGTTCTAATTATATCTTTAAAGTTATGAACTTGCTGAGATACACAACACAAAAGCATGCCCATGTCATAGAATAGTTTGGGTTGGAAGGGACCATTAAAGGTCACTGAGTCCAAACCCCTCTGCAATGAGCAGGGACATCTTCAATTAGATCAGGTTGCTCAGAGCTCAGTCCAACCTGACCTTGAATGTTTCTAGGGATGGTGCAGCTACCACCTCCCTGGGCAACCTGTTCTGATGTTTTACCACCCTCGTTGTAAAAAAATTCTTCCTTAGATCTAGTCTAAATCTGCCCTCTTTTAGTTTCAAACCATTACCCCTTGTCCTATCGCAACAGGCCCTGCTATAAAGTTTGTCCCCATCTTTCCTGTAGGCCCCCTTTAATTACTGAAAGGCTGCAATAAGGTCTCCTTGGAGCCTTCTTTTCTCTAGGCTGAACAACCCCAACTCTCTCAGCCTTTCTTCATAGGAGAGGTTTCCCATCCCTTTGATTGTTTTTGTGGCCCTCCTCTGGACCCGCTCTCACAGGTCCATGTCTTTTGTGTGCTGAGGGCTCCAGAGCTGGACACAGTACTCCAGGTGGGGTCTCACCAGAGCAGAGCAGAGGGGCAGAATTGCCTCCCTTGACCTGCTGGCCATTCTTCTTCTGATGCAGCCCAGGATACAGTTGGCCTGGGCTGCGAGCACACATTGTCAGCTCATGTCCAGCTTTTTATCTACCAGTACCCCCAAGTCCTTCTTGGCAGGGCTGGTCTCAATCTCTTCATCTCCCCAGCTTGTATTGATGCTGGGGGTTGCCCTGACCCAGGTGCAGGACCTTGCACTTGGCCTTGTTGAACTTCATGAAGTTCACATGGGCCCACTTCTTGAGCCTGTCCAGGTCCCCCTGGATGGCATCCCGTCCCTCAGGTGTGTCAACTGCACCACTCGGCTCAGTGTTGTCCGGAAACTTGCTGAGGGTGCACTTGATCCCACTGTCCGTGTCATTGATGAAGATGTTAAACAGTACCGGTCCCAGTATGGACCCCTGAGGGGACACCGCTCATCACCGATCTCCATCTGGACATTGAGCCATTGACCACTACCCTCTGGATGCAACCCTCCAACTAATTCCTCATCCACTGAACAGTCCACCCGTCAAATTCATACCTTTACAGTTGAGAGAGGAGGATGTTTTGGGGGACCGTGTCAAAGGCCTTATGGACATCTGTAGCCACTGATGTAGTCGCTCCATCATAGAAGGCCACTAGGTTGGTCAGGTTGGACTTGCCCTTGTGAACCCATGCTGGCTGTCTCAAATCACTTCCCAGCACACGTCCTATGTTTGCAGGAGAGTTTCTGAGAGCAGAACCTGTAAGCAGCAACTCGGGGGCTTCTCCTGAGAATGCCTTAGCATTCAGAAGAGGCAAAAAACATCCCTGGTGTAGTGCCCTGGATTGTGGTAAAAGCCTTGCTGCTACAGCCCTACTGCCGCTCTTGTTGCAATGAAGTCAGAAGCATCAAGAGATTCAGTCAGCCTTATTTCATTAATTCAGCAGTGGCTTAATGTGTGTTAGGTTTTGTGGCAGTCTTCTTTTTTTTTTTTTTTTTAATAGAAGAAACTTGCACATAAGCCAAACTGTTTTTCATTGCAGAGAGGCAGATTTTAACTGAAGCTGTATTTTGATTTTAAATTGATTTGTGTAACCTTTCTGTTCTGTTAGCAATGTTTGTTTTGTGTGGAATAGCATTTTTATGCACTGTTTTGCTACTGGTTTTCGCTGAAGTGTTTGGATTTCTGCTTTGTGTTTGATTTATTATTTCATTATTTTCAGCAACAGTAAGTTACTGTTGAGAGTAAGTCCACAGTGCATTTGAGGATTAATGTAATTTCTCTTTGCTTGCAACTGACTTAATATTATTTGTAAACATCTTATTAGAAGTATACACTGGATAAATTTAGTTTATCTGAAATTGTTTAAAGTTCTGCAAATATTTGGTATTTGCAAAGCATATTTTTAGGGAAACAGTTCTAGAAATTGCTATAATACAGGTCCTATATAACAAAAAAATATCATGCTTTCATTCTCATGTGTGTTTGGTGATGTGTACTTCTGGGTTTTGTTCCTGATTATTTACATTTGTTATGTCCCTTTATCTCCTGTGACTGAGACTGTTTTTAGTACTGTGCAGCACTGTTGTTCCACCCCAGTGATTCAGCTCAGAAATACTGATGCATCTCTCTGAGTTCTGCTTGTTCAGGGTACTTGAACAATTTTATGCTTTTTGAAGTGTTCTGCCACTAGCTTTTCTTATCATAGAATAACATCTCCTAGTTAACTGGTTTTGGTTTCGTTGCAAGCTGGAATTTTAGCCTTGTATAATTAGGTGATGGAGCACAGTGTCAGCCCATTCTGAACCTCCAGGTTAACTGTAGTGTGATACAAGAGTTCTGCTGAATGGCTGGTGGTCTTCCTTGTTTGCTGGGACCTTGCGTGTGATCAGAATGCTCATTCTCTTTCTGCAGAAGTACACAACTAGTATGGATTTTGTACGGAAATTTGAACGACAGTGTGGCTCCCAGGCCAGCGTGAAACGGTTAAGATCTCATCCCTCTTACCACAGCTTTAACAACAAATGGAATTTGCCTGTATATTTTCAAATACGGTTAGTATGAGGTTTTTTGTTCATTCTTTCAAAACTATAGTTAAATCACAGGAAGATGATCTGGCTTAGGGTCAGATCTCATCATTGTTCAGTTTCACGTGTCGACAAATCATAGTAGAAGTCAAACTAAGAATTTAATTACTAAGTCAAGTAACTATTTTCTGTATCTTTCAACAATTTAGCAAAATCATAGCCAGCTGCTCTGCAGTACATACTGTGTTGTTGTTATACTGTTATTCATAGAACTTTCAGGAACAGATCTAGATAAATCTTGAAATCTTGTTTCAAATTCTTTCTCCAGTGTCCCTGGAACTAAACTGTGTGTTGAAGGTTGCTACTTGTACAAATCCAGAGGGATATTTACTATGAGGGAAGAAGTCTTTCTTCTTAGAAATACAGAATTAAAGGACTTGACAACTTGTACCTTTTCCAGATCTATCCATGCTTCTGACATTCTTTTTGTCTCATGGGATGTGCTCTGTAAAATGCCAGGACTTGTAGCATGGCCTTCCTGATGATTGCCCTCCTGTTCTCTTTTCCTGAGGAGCTAAGTAATAAGTTTTAGCTTACTTTTCCAGCAGTTCTGATGTACCTGTACTATTACCTTTTACAGATCTTGCAGCTAGAAGACAGCCAAGAGACCCAAGAAAGCCCTGTTTTAATTCTAGTAATGCTAGAATTTTAATAAAAGGAACAAAATAGAATGTAAACCCATATTTTTAGGAAGTGTAGTCTACACATCTGATTGTAGGACTGGATAGCAAGCCTCCAGGCAAGAAAGAGAACAGTTGATGAAGTCTGCTATGATCTAAGTGTTCAGTGTGTGATGTCTCTTGGCCAAAAAACTTCTGAGAGTCAAAAAACCAACCCAAAACCTAACGGGGGTGTGTGTGTAGAATTTCCAAAAAAGAGGGGAGAGAAATAGATGTTTATTTTTAACCTGGGTCACTTTAGTGGCCTTATCTATTGCATGATTCTGTAACTGGCAATAACAGTACAACCATAGCCACGTTTATAGTTTCTTTAATTCAGGATAAATCCATACTGCTGCTGAAAAATTCCATCCCGAAATCTTAGGAGTGCTGGAGCTAACGTAAGTGACAGGAGCATGGGGCTGGGAGTAGGATCTTTGGGTTTTTGCTTGCATAACTGTTCCTGCAGATGTGTAGTGAACCAATTTGAGCATCTGTTATTCTGGAAGAAAAGAGGCTGATTCTCAACTCCAATCAATTTCTCCAAACCACTTAACTGTACAAGTATTTGTGGTGGCCCAAGGGAAAGGGCAGGAGTACTCACTCAGCAGTGCTGAGTGCACCAACTAAAAGTGTCTGTGGAACTGTAGCCATTATAAAACTTTTAACAGATGTACGTCATTAGTAGGTCTGTAAGTCTTTTGTTTGAAAGTGCAACTTTTCTAATAAGTGACCGCTTGATCAAATTTTGATATTCTTGCTCATAAAATTGAAATGGAGCTTCAGCATATTCTTTCTGTTCCAAAATGTTCTTTCCCATTAGGTATTTTGAACTCTGATTAAAAAAAGCTTTAAAAAAATATCATTTTCCTTTAATCCAAAATTACTGTAAATCTAAATAGTGCACTATTTTGATAAATGATAACAGCAGCTGGTTCATCTTTCACCATATTATTCCCATATATTGGAATAACCTGATAACTTGTGGAAGTGCCCATGAGTTCTTAAGTGCACAACTGTGAAAATAATGCAGCGTATTCATTATGTATATCAGGGAAGCTTTCTCTTTGATGTAAGTTAATATCCTTAAGTCATACAGGGTTTTTATTGAAGGATTGTCTCACACTGTGGCATTTATAGTTGATTGCTGGGTTTTTTCTTTTTTCAGTTGCAGAAATTGCCCTAAACAATCAGCCCTCAGTGAATTGTTTACAAACAATCCTTTGAGGAACAGATGGATGTACA